ACCACCACCACCAACACCATCACCCCACCAATACCATCACCATCACCACCACCATCACCACCATCACCATCACCATCACCCCCCACTCCTGCCCTCACCCCCCTGGTGTCTGTCCATTGGTTAGGCTTATATGCAGTTTCATTGCTAGCTTTACCCAGTGGCCACATAAGTTTCTATTGAATGCGTACAAAAAACATTTTACATAAGTGTTAAAGGCACGCCTGGAAATTAAACACCCATTGCATTTTGAAGTGATGGATCACACGCTCTCACAAAACCTAATAGCTCTTGAAAGAATTCTCGTGTCCACAGTGTGTTAGGGACGCTTCGCCCCGCCCCCAGGCTTGATTGACAACCCGGGTCCTGTGCCCTCTCCTAGGGGAGGAAAACGTGATCGCGGTGCCCCTGGGCAGTCGGAGTGTGAGAATCGCGGCGAAAGGCCCTGCGCATCTCTGTAAGTAGGACGTGTTCTTCCTGGTTCCTGAAAGTTTATCTAGCAAAAGTAAATAATAATAATAATAATTGTTCTTTTTAAAAATATATTCTTATTGATGTCTGAGAGGAAGGGAGAGGGAGAGAGAGAGAAGCACGCTTGACAAGAGAGAGTCATGGATCGGCTGCCTCCTGCACGCCCCCTAGTGGGGATGGAGCCTGTAACCCAGGCCTGTGCCCTAGACCGGGAGTCAACTGTGACCTCCTGGTTCATGGGCAGATGCTCAACCACTGAGCCACACCGGCCGGGCTCGCTAACTCCTTGATACGGGCACCCATGTCCTCCATCTGTATTCCGTCCCTACGAACCAGTGTTTGCAGACTGAGTGGATGTACTGACACGACGAAACAAGCTATCACGTGCAGTAACACATCTTTCTGAAATAACAGGCTCCTAAGGCAGCTCTCTCATTTAGGGCAGGTGGTTGGATGCTCGAGGCAGGGTGGGAGTGGGGCATGAGTGACAGGGGTCAAGAGGTCCACATTCCCAGTTATAAAGAAGTCCTGGGGTGTTAGGTACAGGATGATGAGTACAGTTAACAATACTGTCCTATGTCATAAAACCCTAATATGCAAATCGACCAAAAGGCGGAATGACCGATCACTATGACGCGCACTGACCACCAGGGGGCAGACACTCAATGCAGGAGCTGCCCGCAGCACGCAGGCCATAGGCCGGCCAAGGCAGGTGCCAGCCAGGGAGCCCCTCTGATCCCTGAGAGAGAGAGAGAGATTCTCCAAAGTATTCATCACAAGGAAAAATATTATAACTATGTGAGGTGATGGGTGGTAACTAGACGGATTGTGGGCTGATAGTTTCATAACCGATACAATGAACAAACCATTAGGTTGTACCCCTGGGACGAACGGGATGTTATAAATGAAACATCGATGAGAGAGAAACATCGATCAGCTGCCTCCTGCCTCAAGAAAGATAGTCCTGTTAACATAAAAGAAACCACACACACATTCAAACTGGTAAAGAATTTCGCGAGTTCATTTGAGCCACACTGCCCACAGTCGCCAGGAAGCGGGATCTCAGCCGATGGGGAGAATGCTCCGGAGAAGGGCTGGTTTGCACCTATTTGTACACGTTGCAGTCGAAGGAGGGGCAGAGGTGGGTGGCATGAACCCACTGGGGTGGGTCAGGGAGGCGGAAGCAAGCGACGCAGGGAAGCCCTGGGACTGGGTGACAAGTAAGATGACGGACACCTGCCCCCTTCCTTCGGGTGCAGGAGCTAACAGCCAGCAGTGAGCTCAGGCCAGGGGGGGTCAGGGGTCCCCGCAGAGCGGTGCCTGGGCCGTGAGGCCGGGAAGGGGAAATGACCGTGACCTCCCAGCGACAGGTGGTCCCAGACGCAGAGAGACCGCAGACAGGCTCCGCGAGGGCCGAGGGACGGGTCAGGGAAGATCCCGGCCGAGGACCGGACTCCCCACCG